CCGGGCCCCTGGGGCAGCTTTAATGGAGAAGTCTGCAATGACCTCGGTTCCACCCAGTGTCCCTCCCTGCCAGTGCACGGTGTCAGCACAGCCTTTTGGGGTGGGGGGCAAGGACCCTGACCCAGGTTGCGGGTTGTCCCCCTGCAAGGGCGCCCTGCTGAGGTGGGGGTGATGGAGCCCTGGTGCACGCTCGTGTGCACCTGCGTCCCTGTCCGCACCGCTGCGGTCTCCCACCAGCTTCGCGTCCTCCTGCTGCGTGCACGGTCCCGCGGCGGCCGGAGGGGTCCTTTGGGGGCTCTCTGGCTTAAAGCTTCTCGCTGCTCTTAGAGGAGAAGCCAAAGAAAGATTCGTCCCAGCTCCTGGTGACCTGCCGGGCCTGCCTCTTCCCGAGGCTCCCCTGGCTCCTGCCACATGGCTTCTTCCCCTTCCAGAAGACACCAGAAGCTGGGCCCTCGCCTGGTCACTGGTGTAACATTCGTTGTCACCACTTCCTAGCTCCCGTCGTCGTCGCAGAGGCTCTCCCTAACTTTCTGCTCCGTGGGCCTCGTGGGTGCCCCCGCTTGCCGGCCGTGCCCGGGCGCTCGGCCCCGGCCAGCAGCCGCCCAGCGCGGGGCACGTGGCGGCGGGGCGAGCGGGCGCGGGACGGCACCAGGCGGGGCCCCTCCCGGCGGGGCGCCGCAGGCCCGCTCCCCGCTAGGGGGAGGCAGAGCGGCCGCCGGACGGCTTCCCCGCGCTGCCTGGGCGCGAGCTCGAGGCCATCTTGCCGCAGGCGAAAACCGCGCCTCTTCCTCCCCGCGGGCCGGCGCCCCACCTGCCCGGGAAGCGGGCTCACTTCGCCTCTCCCAAGCCCTCCCGTGAGGGTCTTCTCGGAAACCGCTGCGGCTCACTGCCCGCCGCCGGGCCGGGCGGATGAACGTTTTGATGAGGGAGACCTCACAGGACTGCAGGCACCCTTCCTTGGGCTTTGGGGCTCTGAGTAACTCCCGTGGCAAACCACTTAATTAGTCTTGCCTTGGCCTACAGATCTGTGAAATGGGGAGAAGACTTCTAGGCCTACGATCCAGTACAGGTTTGCCGAGGAGAAAAGGAGCTGTGAAAATGCCTGGCCGACAGGGCAGGGAGGCAGAGGCCGGCGGGTGGGAGGGAGGTTCGTCAGGTGTGAAGCTGGGGTTCTCGTCCTGGACGCCCTTAGTGCACACGCAGCTCTGAACAACCTCCCACATCTTTGTGGGCAGCAAGAGCAAGTCTGGGCAGTGCAGGGTGAGCAAGGGGCAGAGGCTGACATCCTGAACCAGGATCTTATTTTGGGTGTTTCAGGGGGTTTCGGTAGTACTTGAGAACCCGATGCAGCACATGCCTGGAGGGCCTAGATGTATTTCTCTGGGGTTGGTAGAGTAAATAAGCTTGCTCCCTGACAGTGGGGTGGGGAGATTTTGAACACATCCTTGGCAGTCTTGGTGAGCGCCTCTGCAACACTCACAGCCGCGCGGGCTTTAGGTGGAAGGTTCAAGGAGGATAAACTGACCAGTTTGTCCCCTCTAAGGGGACACAGGCTGCATGCCATCTGCAGTACTGCTCTAAAGTTCCTGGCCTCTGTGAAGTCCCAGAATAGTAAGTGGCCAGAACTCCCAGCTCTCTCTGTCCTTCTCTCTTCCTAGAGGTGGACTGGGGTGGTCCCTGCCCTCCACGACTGAGCCGTGCTTGGCTTTCTTTTTGCGTGGGCTGCTGGAGAATCTTCGTGTCTGATTGCTCATTTTGCATTTGAGACTGCGAGCCCAGCCCCTAGGCTTGTGTAGGACGAGCAGATTTGCTGGGTCTGCTTTGTATGTCACTTGCATGTCACTCACAAGCCCTCCACCTCCTCAACTGTCTGTGGAGTATATGAAAGAAAAAACTTCTGCCCCTTAACAATGTTCTTGCTTGACTTTTATGAATGGACAGGATGGTGAGGAAGAGGCTTTGGGCAACAGGATAAAACCACACTTCAAACTTGACAGTGTGTATATTTTTAAAAATTCTCTCCCTCCCCTCCATTTTTTCCTTCTACTAGCCTCAAGGATCGGCTTTTAAATCAAAGATTACCAAGGACAAGTCAGGCTGCATCCAAATCAATGAGGAGCTTGAAAATATGAATACTCCAGCTGCATCCTTTCAATCAGCCAATCCTTTACAGCCTGATTTAGTCAGGAGAGACCCTGACTCTCAGTATTCTGAAGAGCTAAATTGAAAGAGCTGTGAAAAATTCTTTAGAAAGGGGAAAATAAGAAAAAACAAACAAAAAGACCAGGAACATACTTAAAAACCTGCAATCCCTGCTGCAGCCCTTCTTCTTCCCTCCCTCCTTAGTCTTAATACTGGGGGGTCTTCAGGCTGTGGTTGGTTTGGGTTTTTTTGTTTTTCTTTTCCTGATAGCTGCCTTTACAGCTCTAATTTATAGGCTTACCTGGCTACTGTTTCAATTTGAGACATTCTATATGCTACTTTTCTGCCATGGATAGGGGAATTCAGCTCGCTTGCCATCACCACCCCACCCTCCCTCAGCCTCTTATGTTTAGTTTCCTTATTAATTAATTTTGTAATGTTTAGTAAATACTTCACTCTTATTTCTTGTCCCATCAACTATAGAGAGCAATAGTCAATACCTATATGATGCTTACTAGGAGCAGGCATCGTTCTGAACACTTTAACTTATCTATTCATTTAAGCCAAGAGATACTTTACTATTATTAGCACCATTTTAGGGAAAAGGAAACTAGGGCCATTTTATTATGTTGGTGATTCTCCCAAAGGGAGAGGAGAGAAGCTTGTGTTGTTAGTCTGCCATCTTTACACTGAGTGCAAACAGGGCAAGGATTGGGAAATGTTCACTCTGGCCTTTGCGGTAAAGTCCACTGCTGTATAATTAAGTATGACAGTAACAAGTAAGGTAGCAGAGTCTCTCATCTTGGCTAGCACTGGCCAGTTAGCTCAGCTGTGGGACAGGGATTCCCAAATGTCTGAAACTAGCTAAATCAGAATCAGCTGAGAGTTTGTTAAACTAACACACCTACTAAAACTTAATCTTTGGGATTTGGGCCCAGGAATCTGTATGTGTAATGAGCATGCATCATGGCTTTGAAACCAGTGGGTATAGGTGGGCCTGGCAGTTGGCCTTGTTCTATTCCCTACTCCACTTTCAAGTAAGACCTCTTACTTGGAACCTGCACCATGCAAGTGCATATCTAGACCGTGGCACTCACTAAGGAACTATCTGGCTTGTGCAGTAGACCTCTCAACATAGAGGGATCAATGATCTTAAGATCCAGGTGAAGAGATAACGCTAGTCTAGTCCTAGTGCTATATACAGATGGTACCCTTTTGCTCCAGGGCTTTGGCAAAATATCATAAATACAAAGGTTAGATCTGAAAAGGGACTTAGGGATTATCTAGCCAACCTCCTCATTTGACAGATAGGTAAACTGAGACCCAGAGAAATGTGAGTTGCATACAGAACAGAGCAATTATGGACTGAACCAACAGCAGAACCTTGGTCTCCCACCCCACAGGTTATCTCTTTCTAGAATTACATTGTCTAATAGGTAGCCACTAGCCACATGTGGCTATTTACATTTAAATAAATGAAAATTAAATCAAATTTAAAATTCAGTTCCTCAGTCAATAACTACATTTGAAATGCTCAATAGCCACATGTAGCTAGTGGCTACCACCATAATGGAAAGTATTGGTATAGAACATTTCCATCATTGCAGAAAACTCCACTGGTCTAGCACTGGGCTAGACCCTGGACTTTTCATCTGAAGGTAATATAGAAACTAGATGGTTTTACCAATATCCTCTCCCTCAAGCAATTACTACAGACTAAATGCAAGAGAATGTGGTTGTACTGTTCCATTATAATAGCTTAGTAACAGCATTTTTATAAACTAGAATTTTATACATGTAACAGGAAGAACAAACCACCCAAACCTACTCAGCCACTGGAACCCCTCCCCCTAGGCCAAGATGGGGCTAGATGCCTTATCTAAGAACCAAATCAGATGCAATCAAGAGTCCATTTCAAAGCTCTGGCTGGTCTAAAGACTAAAGGGTATGGGGCCTATTTCTTATTCCTTATAGGTTGGAGGGGAGTATATTTTAGAGGAGGTAAGAGAAATAAAGGAAAGAAGACTGCTCTGCATAATAAATGTAAAGGACTAACTGTAAGGTGAATGGTGGGTAGAAATTGTTTCTCTTCTTCCTTGTAGATTTATATTATAATATCTAAGATTATTTGTCCTTGGAAGGTATTTTTGATCCAATAGTTACCAAACACAAATACTGAAAAATAAGAGGTGCATATGCAGTTCTGGAAGGCAGCCCTTAAAAGTGACCAGCCTTGGAGCATTCTTATCTACTCTGGACTTAATAGTCTTAGGGAAACGCACTGGTGGAGAAGGATTAGAGGTTGAAGCATCACAAAGCAGAGGTTTTAGAGAAGGAAGAATCTGCAAGACCAAGGCCAGAGCTAGGAACTGTGGTTTCATCCCCAAAAGACCCCTGCATAGGACTCAGCTCCTCCTGGGGCTTTTTTCCTTGAATCATAAAGACAATCACATGACTCTAAATGTACGGTTCACATTTTCCCTTCGAATTTGCCATACTCCTCCAACCCTTCAGAAAAGTCTAGATACACCCTTATAAGCTTGTATAGCTGTGGTTTGGGGAATCTGGAATAGGGTAGTACCAGGGATGTAAAATGTGGCCTGCTCCCCAGTTGCTCCCTGGCTAATGTCCTTGTGGAGGGAACTATTGTGTCTAGGAGTTCCAGATGGTGAGCAGAGCAGATAGGCAAACTCACAGCAGGGGTGTGGGTGGGGTATGGAAGGTGGGTGACTTGAAGAGAAAATCTGCCCCAGGTAAGGGTGTTAAAGGGGGTGGTGGAGGTGGCAGGGACTGATGCTTATGTCATCATACAGGTAAACTCACATACACACAAATTATGGTCAGACAATCAAGGTAGCCTTGCAACAAATAGATTTGGATACGATTTATTGATCAGATTGTTTTAGAAAACCAACAGCAAAACACTGACAAGATACATTAATACAGATTGGACATTTTAGGGTAAATTCACTATATTTCCTACTTGCTTGTAGGAAACCAGGTAAGGTGGAAAAGTTGTCCTGATCATACGGCATGCACACCAGACTGCAAAAGGACTTCCACACTATTTAACAGGACTGTGGCAAATAGCTTTAAATAAGGCAAGCACTGTGTGTGGCGTAAGCATACCCTGTAGGAAGAGCAAAGCGTGGGCTCCCCCTCAGAGACTGCATCTCAGAAAGAGGCTTCCCTTTCTTGCCTAGGTTCTTCCAGTAAATTCGTCACCGGCAGGTGCCTTTACAGGGAGATGCCTGTGTTCTTCCTGTGCAGACTCTGGTATAAGCAAGTGACTTTGGAGAAAGTCAGTGTGTTTTCTGATGCTTCCTTTGTATTCTAAATGTGTAGCTAATAAACAGCAATTACTACAGCTTGGTGAAATTGTTTTTTTTTTTCTCTGAAAACTGCCTCTGACTCACCTTGTACACTGACTAAGCAGGGCCTTTAAAAAACTTAAAAAAAAAAATTTAAAACGTGAAAATTACACTGAAAAGATGGTACCACTTTTGAAGCACGACTCAGGACTTCTATAACACCAGACTAGGGAAGAGGTCACTTTCCACTGAATCTAACAACCATAGAAGGGAAACGCTTTGCTGGGCATGATCCGGTGGTGACATGCAGGGAGGTTATAGAACTTCATTGAGCCTACCTCAGGCCCTGCCAGTGCTCCTAGAGTTCCAACGTATCTGAGGAACCAAAGCAATTGAAGCTAACAGTGACCAGTTTTTAGAGTGAAGCTTATGATCACAGGACATAAACCCTCATCCACTGTAGAGCTCAATGTCAGAAAATTCTTTTAAAAATAAGGAAAACAGCTTTTTGTGCTACATCAGAATGCAGGCAGGTAGACAATTCAGTAACCTGTGCCACTTTCTAAACATCTGTAAGACCACATAAAAACAAACTGGTTTTACAGAATAATAAGACCAACACATTCTTAGAGGATAATTTAACCTTTCCTATATGCCAAGCTATATGACTGGAAAAGGCATATCCAAGGGAAGAACCAAGGCTCTTTAAAGATTAGAGGAAAAGCAAGTATATGTTAAGAGCCAAAGAAATGTGTTCAAATAATGGGATTTCCCCTGCATCATACAGCTTTTTCTTCCCATAGGTGCTAAGAGTTCTTTGGTGGTTAGGAGAGACAGCCTAGAACTCAGCGTGGGAGATTATGCTGAAGAGTAACATCTACACTCAGGATTACCACCCGTGGTTCCTAATTTCAGCATTCAATTTATGGGAGGAGGGAGGAAAAAGAAATGTAAATGAATCAACTGTTGGATAGAAAAGTTGATACACTGATTATCTATAGATCTCATTAACTGTGCTTTACTCTTGCTACTCTGGATAACCAAAGGTCACTGTTAACATACCTTTGGCTTAAAAATGTTAATATGTTCATTATTATACCTTTAAATCTAGCTATGTAAGGGCATGAATTGTTTAGAGCAAATTTTTACGCCATGTCATTAGGGCCCTGAAAAAAGAAGATTCTGACAGTGGAAAGGGTTTTGTTTAGCCCCCAAAGAATGGTTAAAATTTCAATCTCTTCTATATCAGTTTATAGCTTTTCCAGGATGTGGAAAGTCTTTATTAAATGAAGAAAGCATCATCTTCTTCATTTGATAAAGTATTACATCCACAGGTAAATTAGTATATACAGGGGAGAACTGATAGGATTAAATACTAGATTTTAATTTTCCATTTAGGAAACTCTTTACAGGTGGACTTCCTTCTGCTTGGGCAAAGAAATGTAAGAAGTCATGCGAACATGAGATGGTATAAAGATGACTGGGAAAAAAACCCTCAACTCTTAACAAACCCAAGGGACAATAAATCTCTTAAGAATTGGAGTTTAAAAACGTGGATTTGAAAATCCAGTTTTTCCAAGAGTTGGTTTAAGCCAGCCAATCACATCTAAAATTCTTGGCATAATTTGACTCTAAAGTAATGAGCTGGCTTTCCTAAGACATATTTTTAAAAAGCAGTCTAGCTGCTTTATAGTTACACCCTATATAGAATCTGTATATATCCATATGTGTTTCTATATATTGCACTTAAAATTACAGGACTGTAGTAAGATGGCTGGGAATACCTCAAAGAGGCAGAGAAGCAGCAGGCATAAACTTTCCTAAATCAAGGAAACAGTGTCAGGAATTCTGAGTGCTGGTTACAGGTAAACTGAAGTGCCTGATGACCCCTTTTGAAAAATTCCAGTCATCTGCATTTCAGTCATCACAGAGTCTCATTTGGCATCTAGAACATGTGCACATGTGTGGTTCTGTAGCACTCAGTGCTGGTCATACCACGTCATTTTTACTACTGTGATATTAAAAGAAGACACTTTAGACCATGGACGTATACTTTTATAAAATGGTCATGCACAGGTCTGCCTCCGAAGTCTACTTCAAAGGCAAGTGTGCTCAGAAGGCTTAGCAAAGGATCTAGCAAGTGTGGATGGAACCAGACCACATCTCTCTCCAGCTTCCTAGTGTAACAGAGCTAGAGACTTTGGTCCCTAGATAAATCCGTAACGAAAATCCTCTCACCACCCTAGATGGCCTGACTTGTTTAATTTGGGATATTTTCCACCTAACATGCAGGGACCAGGCTGGAGTCAGCAGCAAAGCTCTGTTTTGGACGAGTGGAGCTGCTCAGACTGCCTTGTTCCAGAGAGAGCTCCTCAAAGGAGCAAGCCTGACCGTGGGCGGCAGAAGGTCAGAAGGTTAAGTGCCACACAGACTGGTAAGGGCAAGATGTGGGCGGATGGCCCCCTAGAGGAGCTGCTCCTTTTCCTGGCTCTCTCCCACATTCCTCACTCCCTAAAAAGGACCTAAACTCACAGATGGGTGGTTATTACAAGACTTTGCAGAATGCAGGCTCCATTAACTCAACCCAACATGTACGGGATGTGATAATAAGGCCAAGATGAAGTTAGGAAACCAAGTCTAGAGGCCACGGTTTTCTCTTCTCCAGAACTGAACACCAGATGGTAACTTTTTAGCCATAACTCAAAGGTGATTTTAAATCCACACATAGGCTAAAGAGATCCCCTCAGGCATGAAAAAAAAAGAATAACTTTAAAAGCTAGGTGAAAAAGAGGCACTTAAAGGATAAACGTGTCCCAAATCCCCAGTGAGTCGCCTGCTGTAGTGTGGCCTGCAGGGGATCAGCACTGTGCCCTCTGGCATGCCTTCAGCACTTAGAGTGCACCCACGCACTTCTGAATGCTCATGGCCAGCACTTGCTCAGTTCCTCTAGCAGCCTGATGGCAAAGCAAGTGAAAATTTAAATCATTACTCTTTCTAGAATTAAAATAAATTATACCAAAAAAACCAGAATTAAAATTTCACACCAAAAAAGCAAATGATCCTCAATTTAATTCCTTCCTCATGCTTGTTTTTAAATGATACTTGGTTCTTCAGGAAGGATGACTTGTGGCTTTTCCCCCAAGACCTTTTATCCAATTACTAGACAATGAGCACTGTGCACATTAAAGCAGATAGAAAAGGAGGCAAGAAACTAAGGGAAAACTCAAGGACAAACCGCCTGAGAAAACAGCAAGTACATGGTCCAGAGATTAGAAAAGAAAATTCTGAAAAGAAAATGGCCAATATGACTGTCAAAGACCATAGCCTGAGCAGAAGCCAAGTTAATAAGCCCAGAGGGTGCAGGCTCTCTCTGCCTAGCTCTTTCCTGGCCTCTCTCACACCCATGTGTTTATGTCTACAATTCCCCATGAAGAAGTTAAAGAGATATTTAAAACTATTAATAAACATAGGAGAATTTTAAAACTTTCAGAATGAAGAAATTTGATCACCACAAGCTTTTCAATATCAAACATTCTTGGTGCCATGATTTCTAAAAGCAACATCAAAGAGCACGGCCACAACACACATGGCAGTCTTTCAACAAGCCAACTCTAACCATTGCTGGCACTATAAGGATGAGAAAAGACATCACTAACCAAGAGATACTGAGCTGCTTCTCTTTCCTTCAAAGACAGGACAGGTTTGAATATCCACGCAGCAAGATGTCAATCACTGCTGCCATTAGATCAGCTCTTAAATTAGATGCATCTTAAAAACACTGAGTTAAATATCTAGGTTAAAGTACAACCTGCAAGATTCTCAAGGTTAGCCTTCTCATTCTATCCTCTAAACTTCTTGTTGTTTCTGTTGCTGGAATTTTTAAAGTTTTAATTTAATTTTTGTTTTTATCAATGATGTTTTAATTTGTAGAATACTGGTTAACATGGTCATATGTTCAGAATTCCTTTAAAAAAATTTCTTTACCTTGATTCATAACATTTATAAGGTACTTTCAGACTTTCCTTCAACTCCATCGAGGAAGAAGGAGTATGTGAGTATGTGTATATGTATTGGGACAGGAGGGAGAGAAGCAAACAGGGAAGCACATGGGAAAGTGAGATGTCCATAAACTTAAAAACCAATTTATGGAAAGGCATCTGATGTATTTTCTGAATAAGGCCTTGATCAGGGTAACCAATCCTCTTTGTAGCACATTCTACACTGCCCATAAATAAAGGAGTCTCTTTAAATTAACATTTCCAGTATCAATGAACAGTCCAAAAATCCTCATTTCAAGCGTTCGATGAGTCCCTGTGTGAGTCCAAGGTGCAGAAGCTGCGTTCGGGAGAGGTTTGCTAGGTTAGGGAAGGCCGCGAGGAGCTTCTCCCACGCCAATTCCAGCAGGCTAGGTACCACCAGCCAGATCTTAAACAGGGACCCAGTCCGTTTGTTTTCGTGGATGTTCACCACTCCTCCATGAATGTACATGCAACCAGCCTATGAACAAATGGCAGTCAGAAGAGGACAAACTCAAATGGGAGAGAAACAGATAGCAAGGGTGAAGATTCAGCCAACAAAGAAAAAGCATAGTAGGCTGAATCAAGATGAGGTGAAACAAAAAGAATTTCTCACTGATCCCAACATAATGTAGATATCAAGAGGTTTTAAATAATGAATGAGTTACTGAGGACAAAACTACAGATTACTTTTTTACTTTAACAACAAATCACTTTCTATTAACTAACATTAAACTAAGACTTTAATTATCTTAAGTACCAAATACTGGGAAGACAAAGATGAAAACAAAGGCCTTTGCCTTCAAGAAACTAGCAGGATCTTCAGTAATATGGAATCATGGGAGTAAAACTATTCTGCCCTCCCAGGAAAACCTTTGAATCACAGTCTGGGGCCTGAATGCCAGGTGTAGAATTTTTTTTACATTTATGTTGTTCTTTTAAATTTGGGTATGATGGTTTTTCTCCCTTTTGCTCAGAGGAAGAGCTAGCTTTGGAAGGAAGTTTCGAAAACACATTTTTTTTTGTTTGTTTTTTCAGACAGAGTCTTGCTCTGTTGCCCAGGCTAGAGTGCCATGGTGTCAGCCTAGCTCACAGCAACCTCAAACTTCTGGGCTCAAGCAATCCTGCTACCTCAGCCTTCCTAGTAGCTGGGACTACAGGCATGTGCCACCATGCCCGGCTAATTTTTCTATTTTTAGTAGAGACAGGGTCTCACTCTTGCCAGACTGGTCTTGAACTCCTGACCTCAAGTGACCCTCTTGCCTTGGCCTCCCAGAATGCTAGGATTACAGGCATGAGCCACTGTACCCAGCCTCAAAAACATTCTTAATCCTTTTATACTGATATCAGGATCCTTTTTTCTTACTAATATCTTTAAGAAGATTTCCTTATCATCTGCAACAACGTAAGGAAGATATGAAAATAAAAACTTACTGGTGTAACAGCTGCACAGTGAAAATAAACTGGCTCTGGCATGGTAGCTGGGAGCTTCACCCACTGAAAAGTCTGCAGATTCAGTTTCCAGATATCTCCCAGGATCACTTCTCCATTATAGCCCCCACAAATAAATACATCTATCAAGAAGAGAGAAAGCTAAGATCACACAAAGGAAAAGAGGCTATAGCATGTTTTTTTGTTTCTTGTTTTTGTTTTTGAGACAGAGTCTCACTCTGTTGCCCAGGCTAGAGTGCCATGGCGTCAGCCTAGCTCACAGCAACCTCAAACTCCTGGGCTCAAGCAATCCTCCTGCCTCAGCCTCCCGAGTAGCTGGGACTACAGGTATGTGCCACCATGCCCAGGTATAATTTTTTGTCTATATATTTTTAGTTGGACAATTAATTTCTTTTTATTTCTAGTAGAGACAAGGGTCTCACTCTTGCTCAGGCTGGTCTCGAATTCCTGAGCTCAAATGATCCACCGGCCTCAGCCTCCCAGAGTGCTAGGATTACAGGCGTGAGCCACCGCGCCCAGCCTATAGCATGTTTTATAGCAGATCATCTGACCAGCTGACATGGGACCAGTTAAGTGGATTGCCCCTAACATAGAGAATTCATGTATGCAGTCTCTCATGCCATTGTCTTATCCCTCAGTAGAGTCAGGACACTATGTCAGGCTCTTTACTGGGACTAAGGATGTAAGCCTCAAAGGAGGCTTCACAACAGAGTTCTCAATTTCAAATACCTACAGGTTCCAGGCACAAAAAGTGAACCAGCAAGGGAATCCAGGGAAAACAAATAGAAGTCTAGGGAAAACAAACGGAGTGCTTATGCTCTAAAAGAGGTGATAGCTATGCATGCTCCAGCTATTTGATATTTGTCAGGTTGGCAATTGCTATATCTGCCATTTTTTCAAAAGAAGTTGGAAACATGGATTTTTTTAAAAAAGAGAAACATTTGATTTTTAAGTGATGGCCACTAATTCAAAAAATTTTAATACACATATGAGCCAAACAAAACACATGTGCAGGCCACCAATTTGTAAATTCTTCTTTAAAATAATGTCCTGGAAAGAATATACAAGAATATTGTCTCTATCTGCCCATAGAGACAAATGTCCTTTATGCAGACATTTAACTTCAGGAGACACAATCATTACAATGTTCAGTTTGGGGGCATAAAAGAGGTTCTTCCAAACTTTCTTCAGCCAAAAGAGGACAATATGAAACTCCATTTGATCTATAAGTTCTTTACTAGGAACAAAATTTTCCCAAAATGAAAGGTAGTATTTTTGTGTGTTTTTTGGGGGGTGAAATCAGTTATTTGTAACTAATTAGACCAGGTGTCCTCAAATTATGCAGGCTGCCTAGCACATTTATCCAGCCCTCTGGGAGTTTTTGCCACCACTGCCTGTCCTGCTTAGCAGCCAACTCGTCCCGTGCCCATAGTGCGCACTCTCCAACGGTCTGAGGGACAGAGAACTGGCCCTCTGTTTAAAAAGTATGAGGACCCCTGAATTAGACAATTAGACAAATTGCAACAAAGGCTATGTTAAACTTCAAACTAAATGTGCATAACTAAGACTGAATTCCATTTGTATGGCGCTTGGTCTCAAAGAATTAAATGAATACATGTCTTAATTCAGATCTAGATCAATTTTAAGCCAATATTTAATTAAACTATAAAATGCACTGGAAACTTCTTATAGCTAGGATTCAAGGAAAACTACAGCTCCATTCTCAGAGAGACAAAGGCTGAACAATGCCACTATCTATAAATCTTATCCCTAAAGCAGAAGCATAATAAAAACTCCCTCTGTACTAGAGAAGGCAGAATAATCCTAGTTTAAATCTGAACTAAGCTGCTGAAAGAATACAGGCTATCTAATTCATTTATACACACTTTCCTCCCAGAAAAATTTAAGGAGCTATCTCAAACTATAAAATAAGCTGTAAATAAAAAGACAGGAAGGTTATTCAAAGAGGGCATTTATAGATTCAAAGAGTCATTTATCACATTTAGATAAAGCAGCTACAGCTGCTTTCTGATGCCGCATGATGCCTTTGTTGTAATATGGCCAAAGAATGAGCTAAGAGTTCTATTTGGCATCAGACAGAACAGAATCAACTTCATGAAATAGCACTCTGAGGGAGTTATTACAGTTTTAATACAATGTTCACTGAGGTCTCTATTATATAAACATTCAAGATTGTTAGTATTACCTACCATAATTGCAGACATCTGCTAAGGTGGGGTGCTAAAAGATCAGGTGGTGCAATACAAGCTTATTTATCACAAATTTTTGAGTTCTGTTATAACTGAGGGAACCCAAACACTGTACTAGTTTACTTTATCAAAATTGCTAGAAGAGACGCATAACTCTATGGGTTTCCCTTTCCTTTAAGTTTAAACCATAAGAAACAGACTCCTCCCCCCCCCACCCAAAGTTATGTATCTCTTTTGAGGAGCTATCATTAGGAAATAAGACATTTTTAGCAGATACAATTACAGAAATGGAAGCAAAATGTTATTTAGAATCCTTACCATTTTTTATCTGAACACAACTGTGACATCTTCGGGCTGCAGGAAAACCTGCCAAACACATAAATACAGAAATTCTATCATTCACAGAAAGACTGGGAATAATGTTGATATGAGATAGTGAAAGGCATACTATGAATAACTCAAAACAATCCCTTTGTTGAATTAAGCAAACCATTAATTAGTCCTGCCAATCCTTCCATATTTCAAAAGCCATCAGAAGTCTACTCACAATAGTGCAATGCTAAGGTGCCTGGGAAACAGTGGGGGAGTGGCACAGGGGTTACTAGTGGCTTTTCCAAGCCCTTTTACCCACAAAGAGACAGGCAGATCTTGATTTAAGCTCCTACTTCTTATCCCACCCATATTTCAACCACTTCTGCCACAGAATTCAACAATCCCCATTAAAAGGCACTTTGCTTAAGCCAGGCTCAGTGGCTCATGGTTGTAATCCTAGCACTTTGGTAAGCCAAGGTGGAAGGATCACTCGAGGCCAGGGGTCTGAGGTTACAGTGTGCCATGAGGATGCCACGGCACTCTAGCCCAGGCAACAGAGTGAGACCCTATCAAAAAGTCACTTTGTTCAATTCCTAAGGAAGAATAATAATTGGGTTAAGAAATACAAGTATTTTCTAATACCAGTTAAACAGATATTTTACTTGCCATGTAACTCAATAAAATTACTTTTTCCCTTCCAAAACAAGTAAAAGTATAATATACGTTTGTTAAAGATAATGAATCAATCCATTTAATTTACCTATTTTTTCATGGGGCTTTGTTGCAATTTCCTCCCATGCATTTGTTTCAAGGTTGTATGCGTGGATCTTGGAGAAAAAAAAGAACATATACATAGATAAATAAGTAATTTTAGCTAGCCTAAAAATAGATTTTTAAAAAATAGACTTTATTTTTAGAGTAGTTTTAGGTACACAGCAAAATTATGCAGAAAGGTACAGCAATTTTTTATACAGAAAACTGGACTTTTAATAACAGTCTGTGCAAACATATGTTCTTAGTTGAAAAGTTTTTCTTCTTTTGCTTTTTTCTGATCTTTCCTAATTTTAATATAAGGCAAAACATTAAATGAGGCAGTTTGAAAATTAAGCACATATATGATTTTAACTTTTAAAATTCACAGAAAAAAATGAAGGAAAAATATTTGAATAAGAAACAGAAGTGTGCATGACTCCTGATTTTCTTCTGTATGCTGTTCTGCAACTTCCACATTTTCTACAATGAACATGAATCATTTTTAATAACAGAGAAAAGCAAGAGTTGGTAAGGGAGCACAGGAATACAGTTTTGACAGAACTTGAAAAGGATCACTAAGGTTCCAAGGCAGGCCAGGAGCTCTGCAGCCTAATCTAGATATTCTCTGGCATATGTAACTATGACATTTTAGAAATGCCACAGGGATGGATAAATTACAGCCCTTCAGAGCTCAGCTTTCTAAAGTTAGCGATGTGCAGCCCAAAACAAGCCCATCTTTTTAGTTACACAGCATTGACGATGACAGGGATGTGACGTTCTGAGAACCCTAGTTCCAATTCCAATTAGGTGTTCCATTTAAGCTACTATGTCTTCCTTTTAGTCACCTTCCTCATCCAGCATAAGGGTATAATTTTCATAAAGTATTTTTAGTGTGTGATAAATGCAACTGTTGACAAGAAAGCATGATAGGGGCACAGAGTTTGACCCTATAATATAAAGAACTTCTGACACAAAATAGGTATTGATGAGGAACTTGCTAAAATATTAAAATATCTAAAATAACAGGATTGCCTTGCTTAGCATGATACATGCCTCTCTTTATTCTACTCCTTCCTCCCCCCCTTTTTTTTATATACCTTATTTAAGGAATAAGCTGTCCAGGAAGTACCACCTCCCAAGATATAAATCCTCTGCCCATCATGTGCGATTTCATGTCTGTATCTGAAAACATACAATAAAATATATTTATAATTAATTAAAAAATTTCTCTACCTAAGATTTAACTGCAAGGTTTTTTATTGCCTCATTATATATAATAACAATTCATTGGAAGACTGGACGTGGTGGCTCCTGCCTGTAATCCTAGTACATTGGGAGGCCGAGGTGGGAGGATTGCTTGAGCTCAGGAGTTTGAGACCAGCCTGACCAAGAGTGAGACCATCTCTACTGAAAATAGAAAAATCAGAAGGGCACAGTGGCGTGTGCCTGTAGTCTCAGCTAGTCAGGAAACTGAGGCAAGAGGATGGCTTGAGCCTAGGAGTTTGAAGTTGCAGTGGGCTACGATGATGCCATTGCACTCTACCTAGAGTAACACAGCAAAACACTCTCTCAAAAAAAACAAAAAAAAGAAAGAAAAAGAAAAATTCATTAGAAACAACCTGTGTTTAATAATAATGAATTGTTTGCATGAATTATAGAATATGTATAAAATGGATCAATATGCAACCAATAATAATAATTCATATACGATGGTTAATATGTTGAGAACTTCTTTTCATGTCATTGTAAAAAAATCAGATGTAACTTTGGGTCTGCATGCTAAAAAAAAGAAAAAACAAAGAATAAAGAGGAAAAATAAAATATAAAAATTAAAAAAAGAAAAAATCAGAGCAGATAAGTTATAGTATCATTAAAAATTTACAGATACTCAAAACATGCACAGAAAAATGACTTTTATAAGGATATAATCCAAAATGTTAACCCTGGTTACTTCTGAGTATAGATATTGTTTTTTTATTTTCTTCATTTTGCTTATTTGTGTTTTCTATAATCTTCTGTGATAACTTCGTATAAGGGAGGAAATTATTACAGAGTGTTAAAGTGATCTGCCTACATTTAATTAGAGACTACAGACAACGAGTTTTCAAATTAAGATACTTATTTAGCAGAAAATTCTACTACATAGAACTGTGAATACAATATGAAACACCTACCAGAACTTTTATCCAGAAGTCTAGCTAGAAGCTAAAACAATTTATAATATGTCCATAAAATGACTCAAAGAAAGCAACCATGTGAAAATGCTTTGAAAACTTCATCTATTTCTTCCTTTTCCTGAAAGCCCTGGTGCTGACGAAATAAATTATATTAAAATCACTCTAGCAACAGGCCATCTCCCCAAGTCCTCTTATGGTAGTTTTGCAAGAATCAGCCCACTCACATACTAAAATAAAGATAAGTACTTCCTTAGCACCTATATGCCATTTTGTTTAAATGCAACAAAGACATTGGATTAGTCTAAATAGAGTGAATAAAAAATTGTTTACTGTCTTTGCTTTTAAACTGGAGGGGGGGGGGAAATCTCTTCAAGTGTTTCAATGAGTTTAATTCCAAGAAGAGGTGATTGTTATTTGGAAAGAAAAGTGAAAGATCTAGAACTATTACTAGAAAATATAACTAGAGAGAACCATGTGATATCTGAATGTTTTTAACAGAGCACTTAAAATGGATGACCTTTCCATCTATCTATCCATCTGTCCACCTTTCCATCTATCCTTTCTTCCATCCAATCAACATTCACTAGGTACCACTGTGGGCTTGGCACTGTGCCCTATACTGGGGATATATCTGTGAGCAAATGAGTCAAAGAATTCTAATATACAAGTTAAGAAGGAAAATAAAAAAGTAACTGGAAAGTAATTATTGTGCCTATAATATGAAATTTAGTTACAACTGCTACCACTGGTTTCTTCTTCAAAGTGTTACTATCTTCCTAATGCAGAAAGACTAAAGTATAAGAAGAAATGACATGAAAAAATTCTACAGTTCCAATGGCAACTATATGAGGTGATGGATATGTTCATCAGCTTGATTGTGGGAATCATTTCACACTATATACATATATCAAGAATCACATTGTACACCTTAAATATATGTAAATTTTATTTGTCAAGTGTACCTCAATAAATCTGGAGGAAAAACCACAAAAAAAAAAAAATTCTACAGTTCAGAAGGAAATACAACTTCCTCACCAGAAGACCTGCCTGTACTACAGACCCTTCTTTACTACGGAACCAGGATCTACTAGCTAGTTAGCTATTTTAACTAGGGCCAAAGGGTTTTCTTCATATTGCCAATACTCTAAAAGAGGTCAAATGTTAGCAAGAAAGAATAAATAAGTTTTAATTCTTGAACCTCACCTCTCTTCTGGTAGATCACAAGACAGGTTGTTTGGTTTCAGCTGTGTCCACTCTCTGGTATTGAGATCTAATTTGTGCAGGTCTGTGCTGTAAATATAGCCAGTTGTCCCTCCAAAGACATAAAGGGATCCATTGATGATGGCCATGGCCTGGACAACAAGGAAAGGGGAAGAAGACTGACTTATTAACACATGATTAAAGAATGTCAACTTACCAGAATACCCCAAAATCAGGTTTTATGAAATTCTCTTTTACTTTTTAATCTTTAAAAAAATCAGACCCTTAAAGGGCTAAAGACTTTAGAGAACACAGAGATTATTTTTAGAACCTGGAAAATATCTATAGAAAGGTAAAGCTGTACTCAACGGAAAGCAAGTTCTACCTAGACAAGCAAGATGACTCTTAAGTCCTAGCCAATCAGAGAATTTATAGACCTAGGGTATGAGCATTTCCATTGAAAGCTGCTTCCCTTTATAAGCAGTCTGAAGAAAAATGCTCTCAAGAAGAAGAAAGAGATATGAAAATAAGTCATTAGAATGCCTTAAGTAGGAAGTCTAAATTTGGCAGTCCAAGGAACTTGATATTTTCCATCAGACTCTTCTTCAATGTAAGTTCAGCTATTGTTACAGCCACTTCTTAGAGTTCAAATGCCTCCGATGGTAGAAGGCAGAATTATCCAGTATATGGATAACTTTGAAGTGAAAGCTTAAAAGCTGTTTATCAGTACTTATGCTAGCTAGTTAAGAAGCCAAAGCTAGGTTGTTTTGAACTTAGCCAATTATTCTCAAAGAGTTTCTGATGTATAATGGGTTGCTCCCCACTTTTCTGGATATGACTTTTCAGACCTAAGGCTTAAAGCACTGGAACCTAAATTAATCTCTACATAATTTATGTTTTATCTCAGATCCATGTAAAAGTCTCTTGACCAAGTGCAAGTATCATCTACTCTAATACTTACATCAGAAAACTTTTCAAAGAATCTTATCACTCTAAAGATGACAAGACCCAGACCATAGTGGAACCCAATTTCTCATTTGGCATAGGGTGGAGGAAAGTTTCTGACACTGAAACAAACTTCCATACAGGTCTAGGTCATGAACTTAAATTGAATTAGAAACAAACAGTTGGGGCTAGGGGGAAGGAAAGGAAATGGCAAACAACTAGGTTTACAAATTATAATTTCACATCAGAACTGAAAAATCAAATACTAACCACATGGAACTCATTCTCCATTAAAAAAAAAAAGGTAGCAACATAAATATTCTGACATCGTCCTCAGACTTGAAAAATATGAATAAATAAATCCACCATATCTGGCCACAAATTAGTACCTGTCCATATATACGACTGGGTTTCTTCCCTCGACAGCTGAGCAAAGCCCATCTCTTGTACTTCACATTACAGACATGGACATCATTGCCGTTGCTCTCACCAAATGGGATGCCTGTACCTCCAAACACCAACAGGTTGTTTCCATGCAGCACAACTGCGGAAGGAAAATCACAAATTCCATTTACATACTGGCTACCTGCAATGTGTTCCCGCATAAACCCAGAATATCTGAGAAACACAGAAATATCTGCTTTAATGCTCTCATAAGATAGCCCGAACCACTAACACCTAACTATAGGTTGAGCATCCCAAATTTGAAAATCCGAAATTCAAAATGCACCAAAATCTGAAACTTTTTGAGCACTGACATGCTCAATGGAAATGCTTGGATTTGGGATGCTAAGTATAATATAAATATCCCCAAGTCCAAAAAAAACCTGAAATGTGAAACACTTCTGGTCCCAGGCATTTCAGGTGAGGGATACATAACCTGTACTATAAAGTTATGTAGAAAAAGGTCTAATTCACACTATATAGAATGTATAATATAGTTCACTATTAGGTATGACATGTACTCAACACATATTTGTGGAATTCACTCAATACTATGTATAACAATACTGAATTATGTGAACTACACTATACCACTGCTACTCAAGACAGTTCAAGTATGCCGCAAAGCAGAGATCATCTTTGCCTTAGCCAAGAAGCAAAGACTCAGTGGGACTCAGGATGAAGGGATTAAAGGATCATTCTGTTTTTGCCAGGAAATGATCTCTGCATATAAAATGATGACTTCTGTCATTTTAATCCTCTACCAGATAAAAAGAAACACACCAATATCCTACAGTCAACTCTGGTGTTCTTCCTCTCTATATCTCTTACGTTCCTGCCACTACACACATGCACACGCACACACTGATTCACTTACTCTCTCACACACACTCTCTCTTTCTCTCTCTCTCAAAATAGTGTTCTTGTATTATTTCAGTGGCTTTCTTTTTAAACCACTTCTTTAATTGATACAGTGCAGAAGTCAACAGCATGGGCTCTGGAGCCAGCAAGGGCTGGGTTTAAATTACAGTGTGACCTCAGGAAACTTATTTAACCTCCCTAAACGAATCTTTACAATAATAACGCTACGAGGTAGGAACAATTAATATATTCTCAATTTTTATAAATGATAAAACAGAGGTAGAGAACAATTTAAATAATTTGTTTGGCTGGGAGCGGTGGCTCATACCTATAAACCCAGCACTTTGAGAGGCCAAGGTGGGTGGAGGGATGGCTTGAGCCCAGAGGTTCAAGACCAGCCTGGGCAACATTGCAAGACCACATCTCTACAAAAAAATAAATAAATAACTTGTTAAAGATTTCCTAAAAAGAACCTTGCCGGCCGGGCGCTGTGGCTCACGCCTGTAATCCTAGCTCTTGAGAGGCCGAGGCGGGCGGATTGCTCAAGGTCAGGAGTTCAAAACCAGCCTGAGCAAGAGCGAGACCCCGTCTCTACTATAAATAGAAAGAAATTAATTGGCCAACCTGATATATAATAAAAATTAGCCGGGCATGGTGGCGCATGCCTGTAGTCCAGCTATCGGAGGCTGAGGCAGAAGGATCACTCAAGCCCAGGAGTTTGAGGTTGCTGTGAGCTAGGCTGACGCCACGGCACTCACTCTAGCCTGGACAACAAAATGAGACTCTGTCTCAAAAAAAAAAAAAAAAAAAAAGAACCTTGCCAATCTAGGATTCATCCCAGGCAGTCTGGCTCCAGAGCCTGGACTCTTAGCCATTACCCTTAGGGCCTCTCTAAAGACTCACTTTTGTCATTTGTACAGTGGCAATCATTCCAGTACCTGCATCACAGGGATGCCGCAAGATCCAGTAGATACTGTGTGTGAAGTACAATCCTACCTCGTTTTATAGCGCTTTGCTTCACTGTATTTACTTCATCACACTTTGCAAGATATTGCGTTTTTTCTCTCTCCCTATCCCTCCCTTAGCCCTACCCTTTCCAACTTCTAGTATCCTCTGTCTTACTTTTTACTTCTATAAGATTGACTCCTTTTTTTATTTTTTTTTTTTTTTTTTTTTTTTGAGACAGAGTCTCGCTTTGTTGCCCAGGCTAGAGTGAGTGCCATGGCGTCAGCCTCGCTCACAGCAACCTCACACTCCTGAGCTCAAGCAATCCTGCTGCCTCAGCCTCCCAAGTAGCTGGGACTACAGGCATGCACCACCATGCCCGGCTAATTTTTTCTATATATATTTGTTGGCCAATTAATTTCTTTCCATTTATAGTAGAGACGGGGTCTCACTCTTGCTCAGGCTGGTTTCGAACTCCTGACCTTGAGCAATCCTCCCGCCTCGGCCTCCCAGAGTGCTAGGATTACAGGCGTGAGCCACTGCGCCCGGCCAAGATTGACTCTTTAAAGCTAGAAATGATTAAGCTTAGTGAGGAAGGCATGTCTAAAGCCAAGATAGGCCAAAACCTAGAACTCTAGTGCCAAACAGTTAGCCAGTGGTCAATGTAAAGGAAAAGTTCTTGAAGGAAATTAAAAGTGCTATTCCGGTGAACACACAAATGGTAAGAAAGGCAAACAGCCTTATTGCTGATATGGAGAAAGTTTCAGTAGTCTGGACAGAAGATCAAACCAGCCACAAGCCTTAAGCCAAAGCCTAATCCAGAGCAAGGCCATGACTCTCTTTAATTCTATGAAGGCTGAGAGAGGCGAGGAAGCTCCAGAAGAAAAGTTGGAAGGTAGCAGAATTTGGTTCCATGAGGTTTAAGGAAAGAAGCGGTCTCTATAGGTTAAGCAGCAAGTGCTGACATAGAAGCTGTAGCAAGGTATTTGGAAGATCTAACTAAGATAATGGATTGCTTGAGGCCAGGAGTTCAAGACCAGCCTAAGCAAAAACGAGACCCCATCTCTACTAAAAATAGAAAAAATTAGCCAGGCATGGTGGCGCATGCCTGTAGTCCCAGCTACTTGGGAGGCTGAGGCAGGAGGATCGTTGGAGTCCAGGAGTTTGAGGTTACTGTGAGCTAGGCCAACACCATGGCACTCTAGCCTGGACAACAGAATGAGACTCTGTCTCAAAAAAAAAAAAAAAACAAAGAAACACAAAAGGGAGCACTAATGCAACCGTGCAGCTGGTGACTTTAAGTGGAAGCCAGCATTCATTTACCATTCCAAAAATCCTGGGACCTTTAAGAATTATGCTAAATCTACTCTGCCTGTGCTGTGTAAGTGGAATAATAAAACCTGCAAAACAGCACAGCTGTAAGGTTTACTGAATATTTTAAGCCCACTGTTGAGACCTAGTACTCAGGAAAAAAAGATTCCTTTCAAAATATTACTGCTCATTGACAGTGCACCTGGTCACCCAAGAGCTCTCTTTGGAGATGTACAAGGAAATTAATATTGTTTTCATGCCTGCTAACACAATATCAATTATGTAGCCCATGGATCCATTCTGAAGCTCATTGACAGTGCACCTGGTCACCCAAGAGCTCTCTTTGGAGATGTACAAGGAGATTAATATTGTTTGCATGCCTGCTAACACAATATCCATTCTGTAGCCCATGTAACAAACAGTAATTTCAATTTTCAAGTCTTATTATTTAAGAAATACATTTTGTAAGACTATAGCTGCCATAGACAGTGATTTTCTGATGGATCTGGACAAAGTAAATTGAAAACCTTCTGGAAAGGATTCCCCATTCCAGATTCCATTAAGAAGAACATTAGTGAGTCAGGGAGGTCAAAATATTAACATTAACAGGAGTTTGGAAGAAACTGATTCCAACTCTCATGGATGACTTTGAAGCGTTCAGACTCCAGTGGAGGAATTAACTATGGATGTGATGGAAATAGCAAGAGAACTAGAACCAGAAATGGAGCCTGAGCTGCGCACAGTGACACATGCCTGTAGTCCCAGCTACTTGAGAGGCTGAGGCTAGAGGATCGCTTGAGCCCAGGAGTTTGAGGCCAGCCCAGGCCATATAGCAAGACTCTGTCTCTAACACAAAAACAAACCAAAAAAAGAAGAAGAAAAAAAAAAAGAAAAAGAAATGAAGCCTGAAGATGTGACTGAATTGCTGCAATCTCACAATCAATCTTGAATGGATAAGGAGTTGTTGCTTACAGATAGGCAAAAAAAGTAGTTTCTTGAGATGCAATCTACTCCTGGTGAAAATGCTGTGAACATTGTTGAAATGACAAGGGATTTAGAAAATTACATAAACTGAGTTGATAAAGCAGGGGGAGAATTTGAGAAGACTCACTCCAATTTTGAAAGAAGTTCTACTGTGGGTCAAATGCTATCAAACAGCATTGTGTGCTACAGAGAAATCTTTCATGGAAGGAAAAGTCAATCAATGTTTGCTACTTCAATGTTATCTTACTTTAAGAAATGGCCACAGCCACTCCAATCTTCTGCAACCACTACCCAGATCAGTCAGTTGCCATCAACATCAAGGGAAGACCCCACACCAGTAAAAAGACTGACTTGCTGAAGGCTCAGATGTCCATTAGAATTTTTTAGCAATAAAATATTTTTAATTAAGGTATGTACTTTTTTAAAAAACATAATGCTATTGTAGACTTAATCAACCAAAGTACAGTGTAAACGTAACTTTTATTTTTATTTATTTATTTATTTATTTGAGACAGAGTCTCACTCTGTTGCCCGGGCTAGAGTGCCATGGCATCAGCCTAGCTCACAGAAACCTCAAACTCCTGGGCTCAAGCAATCCTCCCACCTCGGCCTCCCAGAGTGCTAGGATTACAGGCGTGAGTCACCTCACCCGAACTAAACATAACTTTCATATGTACTGAGAGACCAAAGAAAAATTTATGTGACTTGCTTTATTTGCAATGGTCTGGAACTGATCCTGCAATATCTCTGAGGTATGCCTGTACTTCACTTGATAGCTATTAATTATCATCGTTATAAGTCCCATTTGTTGATTTTCTACTACATCTTGCCTAGCATATATATGATACTTTATATTACTTCTTGGCCTCTTGGCTAAGATCAAGTATATATGATACTTTATAGTGAACCCTCTAAGATCCCATTTTACAGGTAAGGAAATTAAAGCTAAAACTCATCTGGCAACTAAATGGTATACAGCTGGATTCAAACTCAGGACTCAAGTGATTATGAATCACCATGCTATATTATTATCATAGTAAAAAGCTTATCCATCCACAGGGTTAAATCATATTATAGTATTAGAAGTTATTAACAAGAAACATGTGACATTGAACCCGGCCTCTCAGATGTTTCATAAAGTGAAGTTAAAAAATGCTTGCACTCACGTGACATAGATGCCAATTCCCGGGGCATGTAGCCATCTGTGCCCATCTGGTGCCACACTCCTGTAGCAAAATGGTACCTCCAGAGCTCCCTGAAGAGAGGGTAGTCTTCATTGTCTGGCCCTCCCGACTCATCATAATCTGGGTTATAACCTCCAAACACATACAGATTGGTATTGTCTGCCACACAACGATGTCCACTTCGTGCTGGCGGAGGTCTGTGGCCTAGGAGAGAAAAGGACATTTTCCCACAGTGGCCTACCAGATTAAAAGCACAAACAAAATTAGGTAACAACCATTTTAGCTTTAAAAGAGAATCAGAGAAGATTCAAATAATCATCCAAAAGCTAACAGGACAAATTTTCTTATGTCCTTAGAGGAGGAAAAAAACACAGGCCAACTGAATTAAACTGTGAATATTAGAGGACTACATAAATATAATCACAAATGTGAATGAGTCATATACAAATAAAAATATACACACAAAAAAACCTATGATTTTTCCACAAGATATAATTATATACTTAAAATGAAGACTGGCTGTCAAGGAGTTATAGCAAAGTTTAGAATTTAAATACCATTCCAGATATCATGGTGGTTAACAAAGAATATGCTTATATTTATCTCAGAGGACATCTTTCATCCTATTAAGAGTTTTACTAAGAAAAGCTATTTCTACAATTTATATTTGAAAGCTTTCTGAAGTTTAAATTACATCAACTAGTTCACTAAAAATTATTTCAAGGTTATTTTAGAGTAAAAACAAAATTTTTTTATTAGTTCTATTATATTATCCTTATAATTTTTTATACTGTATGCAAACCCTCACATAGCTTCAGAACCAAAAATGCTTAAATATATATTGGGTGGAATAAGAAGCTACTATAGTTGTTTACTGCCCTAAAGATGCATCTACTTTTATATGTAATAGATACTATTAATAATATAACATTAATTTTTAGGACAATGCTAGACCCCTAATAAACATCTGTTAAACAAATAAACATTTATTATTACCAACCTAATACAGGCCTTATTTTTTTTTAAGTCAAAATTCCACTTTCTAGGGCATGGTTTTTAAACAAGAACTGAAAAGAAATTTTCCATATATCTAGAGCAATTAAAAAACAAAAGAAAAATCAGTGAATCACTGAGTCAGTCAGGTCCAACCTGTTAGTCCTATTTGAGCATCTTTGATGGTTCCTCACCCTCAAGTACCAAGTCCTCTGCCCTGCATTTTAGAGCAGCAGTCCCCAATCTTTTTGGCACCAGGGACTGGTTTCACTGAAGATAATTTTTTCATGGGTAGGGGATGGGGAGGAGGCAGAGCTCAGGCAGTGATGCCAACAATGGGGAGCAGCTGGAAATACAGATGAAGATCTGCTGGCTTGCTCTCCGCTGCTCACCTCCTGCTGTGCATCCAGTTCCTAAGTTTCATGGAAGACAATTATTTTTGGCAGGGGGGTGGCGCACACCTTAGGTGGTGATGCAGCCTGGTTCCTAACAGACTGGTCTGCGGACCAAGGATTGGGGACCATAGTATATTGAGGACTGCAGTTTTAGAGCCTCTCCCCCACTAGCCTTGTCCTGCCTTCTCTCTCACGCTCACTACTGCACAGACTCCCTCTCTTACACCTTTGCCTGGTCTCCCTATGCTTTAATCCCTAGTTGTGGAAATGTCTCCAAGGCTAGCCCATGCAGCCCTTTCTCATCAGGCAAATCCTAGGGCCTCCTAGTTCAGTACCATACTACTCAAATATTAGGGCATACATGTACAATTAATAAAACTACGTAAATACCCAAAAAAATATTAGGCAAACTATAATCAATTGGCAAATTTACTAATGAGCTGTGATTTATCTTAAAGGAAGAACTCAATTTCTCTTTCTAGTACTAAACCACAGAAAGTGTGGTATGGATACAAGAGCAAGGGCTCCCTCCTATGGAAATCCAGATTGGAATCCAAGTTCTTTCTAACTGCTACCTTGAGCAAGGTACTGACTTTCACTGAGGTTTAAGCATCTTCATTTGTCTGTGGGGATGTTATTACCGTACCTCATAGATTGATTACATGTGTTATGTTAAAAGATGTTTATTGGTTTGTATAGCATCCTTTTAGGAGGCTGTGAGGTGAGGGAAGAGGAATGTATGTGTATTCACCTTTCTATGATGAAACCTAGGGCACAAAGAAAACACTGAACAGCTGGGAATCTGCTAATTTGGCATTTAATTTTGTCCTTCATTTTTCTTATACAAACAGATCATAAGCTCCTTAAGGGCAAAGGTCATGTATAATAATTATCCTGTATCACCCATGACACCTAAAACAATTGGAGATACATAACAGGTACTACAAGTTTTGTTCACTTTAGCTTCAGGTCAAAGCAAACAGTGACATGGATGATTAAAACAGTGTCCAATCCTCAGTGGACTTTGATATTATTATGCTTAAGAGATATATGATTTAGGAGACAGGTATTAGATTATGCAATGGTCTTCTCAAGACACAAATGCTCTAAGAATTAATGAGACAAATTTAAAGACAAAACATAATGGAGTTGCTATGGTCAATAAATAGGAACTCTAAGAATTCTATGTCATTTGCTGTATTACCTGAAGCCAATACATAATTTTTAAAGCTGCTTTTGGGAAAATATGAAAAGAAATGCAGTATATTCTAGATTTTCTCTAAATGGCTGTTCAGCAGAGAATGTATTCCATTATAAGTTTATTGCCAACTATTTCTGTGACAATTATAACTCACTCACACAGATTATACATCGAGGAGCCAGTAAAAAGATGGTTTTATGTTTATACATCATTCATTAAGTCAAAAACTTTACTGGACACCAGATATGTATCATGTACTGTGGTAGGTGCTGGGGATACAGTGATAAGACGATTACTATCTCTGTCTTCTGTAGCTTGCAGTCTAGTTCTGCGCTGTTCAACACGATGGCTACTAGCCATAACATATGGCCATTGAGTAGGTGAATAGGGCTGGTCCAAACTGATACATGCTTTAAATGTAAAATACCCACAGGATTTCAAAGACTTAGTACCCCGAAACGAATGTAAAATTATTAGTTTTTATATTGATTATATGTTAAAATGACATGTTTTATATACTGGGTTAAATAAAAATAAAATTAATATCACCTTTCTTACTTTTTTAACATGGGTAATAGAGAATGTTTAATTTTGTGGCTCACATAATATTTCTATCAGACATTGCTGGTCTAGCCTAATTACGAGCTTCTGTTAATAATTTCCAGATCTGCTGGGCACAGTGGCTCACACCTATAATCCCAGCACTTTGGGAGGCCAACTCGGAAGGATCACTTGAGCCCAGGAGTTTGAGGCTGCAGTGAACTATGATCATGCCATTGTACTCCAGCATGGGCAACAGAGAGAAATCCTATCTCAAAAGGAAAAAAAAAAAAAAAAGATCTGTGCAAATCAAACTGTTGGGTAAAGAGCATCTAATCAATGTTTGATAGACATTAGACATCCTGTCAAGGATCCTTATAGCTGGAAGTAAAGAGGCAAGTCCTCTCTCTAGTCGGTAACCACAGATTTCTTTCTCATATTTATAGCCTAAGAGTGACTAAATATTAAAAAGCCATTTCATTTTGAATAACTATGGGAAGTTGTTAATGCCATGGAGACTAAGCATTAACTTTCATTATAGGGTCCTCAACCTTGACAAAAATGAAATTGGGTTTAGAGTCTATAAAGTAGCTCTCTAAATCCTCCCCCAAATTCTCCATGTGCAAATCCCATTTTCCTAAAAATTACTTGCTGCTAATAAAATCTCCATAGAATTGGTTTACCTGATTCTGGAACTTCTATTAGAGAATGTAAAAGTAAAAAATTAAAACGGAACACGTATGCAGAAGTTATTTCTCATAATATCCAGAAGAGAACATACAGCTAAGGGATGTGTACCTGTGATGCCTGACCCATCTTCTCTTCCATGCCACAAGCACTTGCTCTTTACCTCAGGGAGTAAGCAGGAGCTTACAGAAACCAGGGAAATGGGTTTTAGTTTCTAGCCCAAAGGCAGAAAAAGTGTCTATATCTGAGATAATGTCACAGATGATTAAGTTGTTCCCAATGTTTTCACTATTATAAATAATACTGTTAACAAAGCTTCCTCCGCATATATTCATATGCAAGGCATGAGTATTTCTGGAAGGAGAATTTCTGAGTCAAAGGAATATGCATTTAAAATTGTCATAGTTACACTAGTGTTATAAGGACCATATTGCTCTCCAAAAAGAATGGACCAATTTATACTCCCAGCAATTGTGTATGGAAGTCTCTATTTCTTCATGCTGTCTTTATCCTTTTTTTTGTGCCAATCTGATGGGTACAAATTGGAGTCAGGTTAATTTGCATTTCCCTTATTTTACTGGTTCACATGTTATTGGTGTATTTGTATTTCAGACATAAAGCCATCATGTCTGCAACTTACTCTCAAATGGTTGAAACAGAAAATCAATATGCATATACATATATCTACATATATATGTATTATGCATTGAGGGGAAAGAGAGATGAGGGGGAGGAGGACAAAACAAATGAGATACAATGTTAACATTTGGGGAATCTGGGTGAAGGATTTTTTTCTTTTTTTGAGACTGGGCATCACTCTGTCACCCAGTCTGGAGTGCAGTGGCATCATCATAGCTCATTGTAACCTCACACTCTTGGACCCAAGCGATCCTCCTGCCTCAGCCTCCCAAGTAGCTAGGACTAAAGACACACACAACCATGCTTGGCTAATTTTTTTAAAAAAATTTTGTAAAGACAGGGTCTTACTATGTTGCCCAAGCTAGTCTCAATCTCCTGGGCTCAAACTATCCCCCTTCCTCGGCCTCCAAAAGTGCTGGGACTATAAGTGTGAGCCACCCCACTCAGCCAGAAGAATTTTTTACTATTCTTGAAATGTTCTGTTAAGTCTGAAATAATATCAAAATAAAGATTAAATTTTTTAAAAGTCCCTTGGGGATTTTATTTGGGACAACCCATGAAGTAACAATCTCTAGCCATTTATTCCTGTCTTTTTTGATGTCCATCAATATAGTTTCATTGTTTTCTTGTTTTTTAAAAAGTACTTTATAAATTTCCATATAATTGTGAATAGATGTCTCTTTTATTTTCTAATTAGTTGTTGTTAATATGTAGGAAAGTGATTTACTTTTGCAAGTTTAAATGTAATC